CAGAAGTGGTGTGTAAATGTAATTTGGAAAAGGTGAGTTTCTTTTAAATTGATAAAAACATTTTCAAGAAGGGGCACTGGATCCTGCAGGGTGATGGCTGATCCATCTTTTGTCCTGTGATAAACATACAAAGGATAAAGGTTACTCTTTATTTATATAATGCTGGCATATTATGCAGTTCCTTAAGATGATTTCTTAAGCAAGATATCCAAAGTAACTTACAATATGTGTCCTCCCTGCTTCAAGGAAATTGTTCTAAATCTGTGCACAAACAAACATAGATAGCAAAGAGAAGTAGAAGGTCATGCACAACTCCTATTTTTCTTTTTAATTCTTTCACTTGTTTAAGTATATGATTTTTCATATAGGGTTGTTGTTTTTCAAAAAAATATATTGGTGGTATGTTAAAGGAAGTTTGGCATGAAAGAAAAAGAATCAGTGTGTTCCAACCCCGTCATACTCCTGACATGTACAAGTTGCTAATCAATACATCAGTTGTGGTACCTCCAGAAGAGGAAGGCACCCTCACAGTGATGAAGACAAGATGGGTAACGGGGATTCAAGAATATTGATTAGCTGAATATAACGTAAGTCATTTCAGCATAAATCCGGCAAATTTTACTGAAGTCTGGATGCTGAATCTGAAACTCATTAAAGTCAATGGGAGTCGAATCTTAGAAATCAGTAATGGCCATTTTCTAGACTAATAGGCAAGGGATTGTCAACCAAATGGCACGGGAGGATGGGCACTTCCCAAAGGGGATATATACCAATGCAAAAAAAATTTGTAAAAAAATTAATTTTGGTGGGAAGCAGAAATTTTAACAATCCTTAAAGAGAAATATTAAACAGTGACCCATCTGTACAATGTATACTAACTACTACTACAGAAAAACTGACATTTACAAAGAAAAAGTTCCAGTAAATGACAACTCCTTGCTGCTTCATTATATGTTTGTAAACAAACAGCCAGGGAATCACTTCACCTATAACAAATCCGTTTTATAGATGATAGTATAGCAAAGATGTCAAGACAGAACCTGTGCAAATTAGAATCATGAATATTAAGGGGAACCCCAAGCAAAAAAAACAAAAAAAAATATGAGTCCCTCCAAAACCCATACCAGACACTTATCAGAGAAAGCAGTCTGGCAGACCAGGAAAAGGGTAGGTGAATAGAAACCTCACCACCACCTAAACCAGGGAATCTTGCCAGGGGGAATCCCTGTTAATGAGAACAAGGAGCTCTTCCCCACAACTATGACCTGGTGGTTGTGGGGATCTGTGGGGGGAGGGGGCTTATAAGAATTTGGATATTCCCTTTAAAAATTTGGAGTGTTCCCCCCCAGATAAAGCCCCACCTAGTACCCCTTTCCCATTCACAAAAAAAGGAAACAATAAATAAATACACTGATACATTTTTGACAAGTCCTTTATATAAAAAACAATGTTCCACAATGAAAATCCATCAAAAATCACTTTGTTGGTGATGCAGGTTCTCATCAATAATGTCCCATCCCATTGCTTATTCATTGAGAATGACAGCTCCTGGTCCCTACAGCATAATGTAAACAAAGAAGTGGAGTATTCTGGGTGATGTAATTGACCAAATATGGACATGGCCATATTTGGTCAATGATGTCACCCCGGATATCACAACTACGCGTTTAAATTTAGCTGTATGGGTCAGGAGTTGTCATTCCTGGTGAATAAGTGACGGAATTGGACATGTCAGTGGATTTTTACTACCACGGGGTGATTTGTCAAAAAAGTGTGTCAACATGTTTATTTACTCTTAATTTTTTGTTAAAGAATAAGGGCACTATGTATGCCTGCGGATGCTGGCTCCCCACCAACCAGCTGTCACATTTAGTAGTGGTAGTAATACGCTACTAAATGTATCACTTCCCACTGCAGCCGGGGGTTCGGCTCAGCTGAACACCCATTTAGTTTGACCATTCACCAAACCCCTGAACAAGCGAAATTTGTTCAGTACATATGTTAGGACCAAACTAGGAGCTCATCCTTATGCGTATTGGCCATCTCTGCAAGACTCCAGAACCCACCATTTTCTCTTCCCTATGTAGGTTCCTCTCTTTTCTGGAGATACTAGTGCCAGAGATTATGCAAATGCCGTGCTAGTCTTTTAAAGGCTAGGCAGTGGGAAGGAGGAATTCCACTCGACTAAGATATAAACCCATTTAGTTTGCTTAAGCACTGTGTATTATAAACAACTGCAATCTTTTAAAATAAAACTTGGTTTTCATTTTTTTTCATCCTTTAATGTATCTCTGTGCTGCTGATATCCTGCAGCCATTTGTTGTCTATATGCATACACAGCAGTAAAGGCTGTATTGCATTTTTTTTCAGGACGGGTATACTGATGGTGACAAAAGTGGTCCATGCTTGCATAAGGTGTGTGGAAATGACCACTTCTAGTCTCCATCAATAGTCAAGGTAACAGTACAGAGGAAAAATTTGCAAACAAAGATGGAGTGTTGTCACCCTATAACAGATACCTGAACAAGGACCTTCATGGTACAGTTACCATGAATGTGCTATTTTCAAATGTGGTATTTTTGTCTTTCAAGCAATGATAAACACTTGACCAGCACAGATCAGCATTCACACAGAGCAAATGTACATGCACTTTCACTGGGCAGATTGCAATGTGAATTTTGTATAAATATACCCAAGTATTAATTTAATTAAACTGGAGATCTAAAAATATTGGAGATGAGGTTTGACTTCACAATAACACAGTAAAGCACATATGATGTTTAATCAATTGGATTAAAATACATATTTCTAATATTTTAACTATTGTCATTTCAATGTAAACAGTGATAAGCAAAATTCTTTAATATCCAAGCAATGTTTTTTTCTAACTTACTCCATGGCAGGATATAAATGGGTTCACTCCTCCCTCTCCTCTCCTACCCCATAGGATGCCTCTCCCAGCTTTCCTTACCTGCCTGCAATAAACCTGTGACTGGCCACCAGTTGCTCACCAAGTGAAGCCCTCTCTTTCCTAACCCAAAATAAGGCTCTTTGTATTGGTGTTGTGACTGGCATTTGGGATTGTTGCCTTGCTAAACGCAAATCTGTTCCCAGAAGTGACACCATGGCTGTGTAGCTTTCTGGCATGTATACTCTGACTGATTCGAATGCCTTTTACTGCTTCTGAACACGCAGACTCTGCATCTAATTTTCCCTGGCTGATATTTCTGTGGGTCTAATTCAACCCCTTACGAAGGCTGGAAACCTTTTTCTGAGATCCACAGTGGCTTGAGACAGAATGAAGGCACCTGCCTGGATGTCATGTGGACTACATGGAGTATAAGTCCACCTTTGTTAAGAAGAAAAAAAGGAAAATAATGATGGTGACAATCCCCTTTGGATGATCTATGTACATTGTATGAGATTATCTAACTTGTTGAAGATTCATACCTTTTTTCTGTTCTGAACAGATAACAATTTGTTCCATCACATCCTGTTGTCTGTATGGCAGAGTCTGGTTTATAAACCACCTGATGAAATCTTAGTGCTCTGATGTGGGAAGCTGCAGTGCTGACATCCCTTTTAACAGTAGTTAACCCTTTAGTGGTTTCCTACCAAACTAGATTTATATTCCATCAAATTTTGAGGTACAATTGTTGCTCAAAAGGCTACCTATTTCCATCTTCTAATAGCCATATTTTTTGAGAAGCACCTCTGTTTATCAGTGGGTTGAGACATTATGCAGCTTGAATGCCTACTACAGGGGTTTGGCTGGCTAGTCAATCAAGAAAAGGGTCATCTGACCCATACACAAGGCATTGTGTGTATCTGAGAGCCCAGTTTAGTAAAAGATCAGAATATGTTACTTCTGCTGCTACAGAACATACCAGTGGTAACATGCTGGATTGTCCTGGCTTTCCTCTCTTCAGCCTCTGAATGCCTGATTATCATGACCATGGTCTCTTCTGTGTTATATTAGAGTGAGGTCAGTGGAGGAGGCACCCTTTCCAGAAGGGTTTTTCTCCAACGGTGTACATGCACCAAACTATTCAAATCCCACAGCCAATGATAGTGAGCCTTTGGTGAGAAAATCTACTCAGCTGCCAAACAGTGACCCAAGGTCAATAGAACTTTTCTGTTGTCTTGATAAGTCTGGATTTCCAGCTAGCCTTTTGCTCCTTGTACCTTTTGCTACCTGACAGTAGGTTCTCTGGTCTCAAAAATGATAACATGACAATTGTGTACTACACCAAGAGGTAAGTGGGAACCTGCAGGCTTATTCTACTGAGAAAGCTAGAGTTGGCCAGACCTGGGCAGAGAGGAATCTCTCCAACATTTCAGCAATCTATATGCCCAGGATTAAAAATCTCTAGGACAGGGTGTGCCAATTGGACAAGCAGTGATCTCTACTAGAGATGAGCGAATCGAAGTAGGCGAAGTGGAATTCGCTTCGAATATTAGAAAAAATTCGATTCGATCCGAAAATAAGCAGACTTCGGATGCGCGAATCGAAATTTTTCCTAAAATGGCGGCGACATGTGCGTGACGAGCGGGGGGGGATGTCTGGGAAGGCGCGCAGACAAGGCGCGCTGACCCATAATGCATTCATTCATGACATGTGATCGCATTAGCCAATCAGCAGCCAGCCAGCCAGCACTGTGTAATGGTCGAGCTATAAATGGCGGCCATTTTAGAATTCTCCATTTGCCTCCAGTCATTCAACAGAGGCAGACCTGGCTGTATTCAGGGAGAGAGTTAGGGACACAGAAACGTTACTTAGGGACATAGAAACGTTAGTTAGGGACACAGAAACGTTAGTTAGGGACACAGAAACGTTACTTAGGGCCACAGAAACGTTACTTAGGGCCACAGAAAACGTTACTTAGGGCCACAGAAACTTTACTTAGGGACACAGAAACGTTACTTAGGGACACAGAAAAACGTTACTTAGGGCCACAGAAACGTTACTTAGGGCCACAGAATCGTTACTTAGGGCCACAGAAACGTTACTTAGGGCCACAGAATCGTTACTTAGGGCCACAGAAACGTTACTTAGGGCAGACACAGAATTGTTACTGAGGGACACAGAATTGTTACTGAGGGCCACAGAACTGTTACTGAGGGCCACAGAAACGTTACTTAGGGCCACAGAAACGTTACTTAGGGCCACAGAAACGTTACTTAGGGCCACAGAATTGTTACTTAGGGGACACAGAAACGTTACTTAGGGCCACAGAATCGTTACTTAGGGCCACAGAAAAATTGTTACTTAGGGCCACAGAAAGACTTAACACAGAATTGTTACTTAGGGACAGACACAGAATTGTTACTGAGGGACACAGAATTGTTACTGAGGGCCACAGAACTGTTACTTAGGGCCACAGAAACGTTACTTAGGGCCACAGAATTGTTACTTAGGGACAGACACAGAATTGTTACTGAGGGACACAGAATTGTTACTGAGGGCCACAGAATGTTACTTAGGGCCACAGAAACGTTACTTAGGGCCACAGAAATTGTTACTTAGGGACAGACACAGAAATGTTACTGAGGGACACAGAATTGTTACTGAGGGCCACAGAACTGTTACTTAGGGCCACAGAAACGTTACTTAGGGACACAGAATTGTTACTCAGGGAAAACCACAGAATTGTTACTCAGGGACACAGACATTGTTACTCAGGGACAGACACAGAATTGTTACTGAGGGACACAGAATTGTTACTGAGGGACCACAGAACTGTTACTTAGGGCCACAGAAACGTTACTTAGGGCCACAGAAACGTTACTTAGGGTCCACAGAAACGTTACTTAGGGCTACAGAAACGTTACTGAGGGCCACAGAATTGTTACTGAGGGCCACAGAAACCGTTACTTAGGGCCACAGAAACGTTACTTAGGGACACAGAATTGTTACTTGTTACTGAGGGACACACAGAATTGTTACTGAGGGACACAGAATTGTTACTCAGGGACACAGAATTGTTACTGAGGGACACAGAATTGTTACTGAGGGACACAGAATTGTTACTCAGGGACACACAGAATTGTTACTGAGGGACACAGAATTGTTACTGAGGGACACAGAATTGTTACTGAGGGACACAGAATTGTTACTCAGGGACACACAGAATTGTTACTCAGGGACAGACACAGAATTGTTACTGAGGGACACAGAATTGTTACTGAGGGACACAGAATTGTTACTCAGGGACACAGAATTGTTACTCAGGGACACAGAAATGTTACTGAGGGACACAGAATTGTTACTCAGGGACACAGAATTGTTACTCAGGGACAGACACAGAATTGTTACTCAGGGACAGACACAGAATTGTTACTGAGGGACACAGAATTGTTTGTTACTGAGGGACACAGAATTGTTACTGAGGGACACAGAATTGTTACTCAGGGACACAGAATTGTTACTGAGGGACACAGAATTGTTACTCAGGGACAGACACAGAATTGTTACTCAGGGACAGACACAGAATTGTTACTCAGGGACACAGAATTGTTACTCAGGGACAGACACAGAATTGTTACTCAGGGACACAGAATTGTTACTGAGGGACACAGAATTGTTACTCAGGGACAGGGACACAGAATTGTTACTCAGGGACACAGAATTGTTACTCAGGGGACACAGAATTGTTACTGAGGGACACAGAATTGTTACTCAGGGACACAGAATTGTTACTGAGGGACACAGAATTGTTACTGAGGGACACAGAATTGTTACTCAGGGACACAGAATTGTTACTCAGGGACACACAGAATTGTTACTCAGGGACACACAGAATTGTTACTGAGGGACACAGAATTGTTACTCAGGGACACAGAATTGTTACTGAGGGACACAGAATTGTTACTCAGGGACACACAGAATTGTTACTGAGGGACACAGAATTGTTACTGTTACTGAGGGACACAGAATTGTTACTCAGGGACACAGAATTGTTACTCAGGGACACAGAATTGTTACTGAGGGACACAGAATTGTTACTCAGGGACAGACACAGAATTGTTACTCAGGGACACAGAATTGTTACTGAGGGACACAGAATTGTTACTGAGGGACACAGAATTGTTACTCAGGGACAGACACAGAATTGTTACTCAGGGACACACAGAATTGTTACTGAGGGACACAGAATTGTTACTCAGGGACACAGAATTGTTACTGAGGGACACAGAATTGTTACTCAGGGACACAGAATTGTTACTCAGGGACACACAGAATTGTTACTGAGGGACACACAGAATTGTTACTGAGGGACACAGAATTGTTACTGAGGGACACAGAATTGTTACTCAGGGACACAGAATTGTTACTCAGGGGACACAGAATTGTTACTCAGGGACACAGAATTGTTACTCAGGGACACAGAATTGTTACTGAGGGACACAGAATTGTTACTGAGGGACACAGAATTGTTACTCAGGGACAGACACAGAATTGTTACTCAGGGACAGACACAGAATTGTTACTGAGGGACACAGAATTGTTACTGAGAAGAATTGTTACTGAGGGACACACACAGAATTGTTACTGAGGGACACAGAATTGTTACTCAGGGACAGACACAGAATTGTTACTGAGGGACACAGAATTGTTACTGACAGGGACACAGAATTGTTACTCAGGGACACAGACACTGAGAATTGTTACTGAGGGACACACAGAATTGTTACTGAGGGACACAGAAGTGTTACTGAGGGACACAGAATTGTTACTCAGGGACACAGAATTGTTACTCAGGGACAGACACAGAATTGTTACTCAGGGACACAGAATTGTTACTCAGGGACACATAATCGTTGAATTAAAGAGTATGTCAGACAACATGCAGAGGAGTGGCAGAGGAGGCAATGTTTTAGGAGCGAGCAGACGTGGCAGCAGAGGAAGGGGTCGAGGCAGCACTAGTCGCAGCCAGAGGCCATTGCTCCCGGTGTCATCCAGCGGTCGTGTCTCCACCGACAACCCTGCCGTCATCGATTGGTTGGCTCGGTCGTCTTCCTCTTCCCAGGTCACCTCTGACACCTACAGCCAACGGTCGGTGGGTACGTCAGACACAACCGTTAGTTGGCATGGCCGGGAGCAAGCCCACTGAAATCACGTGTCCTCGACCTGCCCCTGTCCTTTGGTGTTCCCTCACCAAGCGAAGTATCGCATGCTGTGGGCTCAGCCCCACTGTACAGTGAGGAAGAGCTAACAGAGGGCGGTCAGGAACGGGGGGAGACATCCGCCTCTTCAGCAGCCAGGCGAAGAAGTAGTGGCGAGGAGAGTGGCTCGGTAGCCGGTCTAGAGACAGGTCTGTCTCCTGACCCACACGCAGCCGGGGGGGCTAGTAGTGAGGCGGAGACCCTAATTGATGATGATGAGGCTGATCGCACTTGGCAGCCTCGTCGTCATCAGGCTATTGCTTCCGCATCATCAGGAGAAGAGGGTGGCAGCTTGGCAGCGAGCAAAACAGTCGGTGGGTTGCCCAGGAGGCAGCAGGGTCGCAGCAGTGTCAGTGGAGGCAAACGGCCACGGAGTAGAGCACCAGCTCCACTGCAGCCTACCACCACGGCCAGTAGTGGTGCCGGTGTGCACGGAGGAAGTAGCAGTCAGCCAGTGAGGAGTATCGGGGGCAAAGTTTCCTACTCGGCGGTGTGGCAATTTTTCGTCAAGCCGCCCGAGGAAGTAAACGTAGCCGTATGTCGACTATGTGGCCAGAAAGTCAAGCGTGGCCAGGGGGCCCATGTTGGGACTACAGCGTTGCGTCAGCATATGCAGCGTCGCCATTTGGTGGCCTGGGAAAACCGTGATAAAGATACGGCGGTTCTGCCTGCCCCAGCCCCCGCTCCATCACCCGCTCCGTTACTTGCTCCGTCACCCGACGTCAATCGCCCTCTATCAGCCAGTCAAGGCTCCAACCTCTGCTGAGGGGAGTTGTCGCTCGTTGCCATCTTCCGCTCGTTCAGATGCTCCTTCTCCTGCTACTCCTCTTCACGGATTCCGTCAGCAGTCTTTCTTGGAATCCGTTTCCAAGAGACAACAGTTTGCGAGCACGCACCCGACGGTGCAAAAGCTGAACGTCCTCCTGTCCAAGTTGCTGGTGCTGCAGTCCCTCCCTTTCCAAGTGGTGGACTCAGCACCTTTCTGAGAAATGATGGCTTGTGCCGCGCCGCGGTGGAGAGTGCCAAGCCGTCATTTCTTCGCCAAAAAGGCAGTGCCAGCCCTGCATTCACATGTAGAAGAGATGGTGGGCCAGTCTTTGAGCATGTCGGTCTCTGCCAAAGTGCACGGCAGCACCGACGTGTGGAGCTGTAACTACGGTCAGGGACAGTACATGTCATTTACGGCCCACTGGGTGAACGTGGTGCCGGCACAGCCGCACCAGCAACTTGGACAGGTCACGCCGCTTTTGCCTCCACGTTTGCACGTCCTTGGTCCACAAAAGATGTCCGCCTCTACCACCTCTTCTTCCGCCGTGTCCTCAGCCGCCACCCCCGTGCCAAGTCCCATTACCCAACCCGGCATATCACATGTGCAGGGCGCAACGGTGTCACGCTGTGCTGCACCTGGTATGCCTTGGCGAACGTAGTCACACAGGGGAGGAACTTCTCAGTGTAATGAACAGAGAAATCGACAGATGGCTGTCTCCGCGCAAACTGAAAATCGGAACCATGTTGACCGACAACGGAAAGAACATGGTGTCTGCTCTGCGTCAAGGAAGGTTGTGCCATGCGCCATGCATGGCTCACGTGTTCAATCTGGTTGTCAAGCGGTTCCTAAAATCCACCATCCCACTGCAAGACATCCTTAAAATGTCACGTAAACTTTGCATGCATTTCAGCCATTCCTACACCGCAAAGCACACCCTCCTTGAGCTGCAGCGGCAGAACGGAATTCCACAGCATCGCCTGATCTGCGACGTTGCAACAAGGTGGAATTCAACCCTACACATGTTAGACCCGCCTTTACGAACAGCGAAAGGCCATCACCGATTTCCTGATGTTACAAGCGGATAAAGGTACTCCCCTGTGTAACTTCGATGTCAGCCATTGGCAGCTCATGCGTGACACCTGCAGCTTGCTCAGGCCCTTTGAGGAGGCCACGCTATTCGTGAGTCGGCAGGACTATGGGATGAACGACGTCATTCCTCTGTTGCACGTCCTGGAACAAATGCTGTTAACAATGGCTGGTCAGGGTGCGGTAGACGTGGCGCACAGATCTCAACGCCACATGACCCCTGTGGGGGCAGGACAGGAAGAAGAGGAGGAGGTAGAGGAGGACATTTGTGCTCAGGAATTATTGAGTGAAATGGGTGGTTTTTCCACTCAGCGGACAGGAGTGGAGGAGCAGGAGATCTGGTAGAGGAGGAGGAGGAGGAGACAGAGGACCCAACGCACCGTGGCAGTATGCTGTGGAGATGGAGGCAGGGAGTCCCTCGCATTCCTTGGCACAAATGGCCCATAGCATGCTCGCTTGCTTGCGTAGCGACAGCCGAATAATAACCATCAGACAGAGGGATGACTTTTGGCTGTCCACCTTGTTGGACCCTCGCTACCGTTCAAAAATGGTGGCCTTTTTCACACCTGCTGAGAGGGAGGCCAAAATAACGTACTATAAAAACCACCTATGTAGTCAGTTGGTCTCTGCCTTTGTGCGCCAACGTCCATCCTCAGACACTGTGGGCCCTGTGCGCTCGCGTTCCGCTGCCATGGCAGCAGGGAGGGGGTGGGGTGGTAGGAGCAGTGGCAGCTCCACCAGCAGCGGCTGCCTCAGTCTGCAGTCGATGATGAGTAGCTTTCTTCACCAGCGCAGTGAGGAAACTACTAACCAGCCGCAGCAGCAGCAGCATCAGGTGGACCTGGAGCAGGACCTCAAACAACAGGCTTGGGCCTACTTGGACAGCACCCTGCCAACCGAGGTAGACAATCCCCTTGACTACTGGGCAACGAAACTTGACCTTTGGCCCCAACTAGCTGAATTTGCCCTTGAAAGGCTGTCATGCCCGGCCAGTAGCGTGGCATCTGAGCGCGTGTTTAGTGCGGCAGT